GTTAGTGTTAGGCATAGGAAGGAATTATTTGGAAGTTGAATGACAATCTTATTCAAGAAACAAGACCTATCGGTGTGTCCAGACACAGCTGATTATCTGTCAAATCTTGCAAGATGTTGCGAACAATGCTTCCATGTCTGAAGGAGAGAGCTTGTATGTTTTCACCAGGCTATGTAAAACAGGGCAAATTGGATTATCAGTTTTGAGCTTGTTGAGAACTTTCATGACCAGTTGCCTTGCCAATCATACAAATGTGATCTAATCGTTGGATTGAGAACCTTCTTCTCATTTCATCGGGCAGTAAACTGTGTCATCGGACTAATGAGCTCCGTAACACGATCCATTACCTGCGGCATGACAGCAAACTCATCACATTCATCACTATACGGAGAAAGGTAGCATCTCAAGTCAAATCATGCAGCCCTTTAAAAACATGTCTTTGTGCTGAGGTCAATAAAGACTGTCCCATACTCCACCTTTTGGTAAGAACAGAAAATGCCTGCCGACTTATGCGAAGCTTGAAATCCGCTTCATGACATTCAGGCTCTCTGTAAAGAGACAGTGGAAAATAAATCTTTATGCAAGCTTACGTTCTGGATGACGATTGGCAAGGAAGCTGATCTAGACGAAAGATTGCTCACTGAGCTCAATGCCCTTTTTTACATACACATTTTTTACATTGCCTGTTAAAAACTCCCAGTTCGCGCTGTTTCTTGATTAAGATAGACAGTCTACTTCTGAGTCATCCATTGTCCATCACTAAGTGCTCCTCAAACATCTATGCAACACAAATTTTGACCAAAATTGTGCTATGGAGTCATTTGATATGTTAACGTTACCCACAAGACCGGGCGACAAGTTCATGTGCGTGTAGCATCTGGCTAGCAAGAGAATAAATAAATATCTGAGCCCTTTGGGAAAGCATAGGAAGTAGCTATGACGGAGTCAATTTTGATATGAGATGCACACTTTAATTTAGACGAATATATTCTCTCACGAAAAACGTTTGAAGCTATTTGGATGCTTGTGAGCTATCTAGAATAAGAACGAGCATAATTATTAAAAAGGGTTCACAGCCCTTCATATCATTTTGCGATCTTTGATTGAGAAGCTACCTTTTGCTAAGCTGGGTGAGACACCTGGTGAGTTGATGTCGATTCTAGGAGCAGAGCTAGGTGAAACACCTGGTGAGTTGATGTCGATTCTAGGAGCTAGCTTCGGTCATAATAAATGATTCAATACAGGGTGGAGGAGGTGTTTGGTGAGGTGCAACATGTGATGAAAGGTGAATGAATCACTTTCAGGCTTCTGAAGAGGCATCGTACCGAACGTTGGGCTTTGATATAAAATGTTTCACTAACAAAGTGTAAGGGCATAGAAGAGCGTAACATAAACGAAATGCCAACGTTTCGAGAATATTCAGACCACCTCAATACATCTTCCCTTGAGCATTAAGTTCTCGATGTTTCTAAGATTATGATTTAGTTAATTGTTTGTTCACTTACACCCATTCGATTTCTATCGAATACAAAAACTAAATTTAGATTTGTGGCCTCCGGCGTGATCGCGGTCTCCATTGTACCCCATGATGGCGACCTATTTACTATAGGTTCACTTGCAGTATCCTTCTATGACATCAAAACAGTCAATGATCATTATAAATGCACCGGTCCGCACCAATTGGATGTGATCACTAATTTGTTACAGAATTATCATTTAGAAATATGTGCGTGTAGATCTGTAAGGTGCTACAATGGAGGTGAACCTAATCCCAGAAACTGTGATGTTTGCAACTGTCCAGAGGGTTATGCTTTTGCAATGAAAGGGTAAGCTGAATTAGGCTTGGCAGAAAATTCACTGATTGGATCAATTAAAAAGTGTCATTCTGAAGTGTTTTTGAAAAGTTTGACAATTTTCTTTCCAAAATTATCCAGATACTGTGGTATCATTAGGATCAGATGAAGAGGTATGTCTGAAAACTACTGTGGTTTATCACAGTATAGATAAACTACAATTAATCTTAGATGTTTGATCTAAAGACGCTGTGTTCAGCCCACTGGCTGTGGTGAAACCCTGACTGCGACCGCGCTCTGGCAGGTGAAGAGATTCAGTTTTGGTAATTCTACGAACGTCATCCGTCCTAATTTCATGAAATGCAACCACTGGATAGAGGTAAACCGAGGTCCACCACTCTTTATCATTAATAAGTTACATCTTCGTAGGCCCCAGCTGATAAACAAATCCAGTGGCGTGTAACTTACATTGAAAATCCTGAGTGCAGATTCGGTTGTCCACTCAATGCTATCGAGCCTAAAGTAGGAGACGATCCAAGGGCTACGAACCATAGGTTTGTATTGCAATTGCTTTTGTGGGCTAAATAGCACTAGATCAGCACAGTTTGTTGTTTTTCTAGATTGTGCTGCAAGGAAAATCAGATCAAAGTACATAACAGTACCCAGAATCCTTTACCCGTCATCTCTTACAATAGCTATCTGACATCGTTGTACAAATTTCACTACAGATTCATATGATCAATTCACTATAATGCCTATAAATGTGCTAAGTCATTTACTTGTTTGACTGAAGAGTTACATTCTCAAGACAAGTCCGTATTGAAGTTGTTTTGAAGGAAGGTTATACAACTCAGTAGTCGATCAAAGCCAACAACATGGCATATTGTACTGCGTGCATATTCGATATTCTGCCTTTGAGTTTTAACCGATTAAGATTTGTTTTCAAGCAACTGCTCCACTCTACCCCTAACATTTCGCTTTTTGTTGATTTTTCGTACTCTATCCATTGTGTTATGAAATTTTTTAAGATCTTCTTTTAGTATTTAATTGCAATTTTTTTCTTTATTATACTTTGTCAATTAGTAGATTTTTGCATCGTTGATTGAGAAATGTTTGAAAAAATAAGAAAACTTCAGGCTATTTTTTTATCGCGAGGCACCTTCAAAGCGGTAGTCTACGCACGTAATAATATTCCTAACAGACTACAGGTA